ACCAGCAGTTGGAAGATCTCTCTCTAGGCCTCTCTGTAACTCTGCCTTTCAAATAAATTAATACTTTTTTTTTTTTAAAGAGGAGTAAGTTAAAAAAAAGAACAAAGAAAGAAAAAATAACAGTGTGTTTGGATGCTGATGGGAACCATATCATAAAGAAAGGACACAGGTTGGGTTCCTGGGAGAGCATACAGGATACATATAAAGGAGTTCCCCTTAGGAGGGAAGAGGAGGAAGCAGGCATGTACAGAGGGAGATGTCCAGCTGTGATACAGCCCCAACACCCTTGCCCACCCCACAGCAAGCTCCAGAGCTTAGACTTTCAGAGCTGTACAGGGCTGGGCTGGGCTGAGTGGACCTTTATCCTGCCTTCCAGCAAACTTGCTCTCTGCAATGACAGAGGTGGCAACAGCTGGAGGCTGTGCTGGCTTAGCCCTTCCCTGACGAGGTCCAGGTGGCACATCACTGTCACCACAAGGAGAGTGGTGACTTGGAGAAAGGCTGTGATCCATAGCACTAATAGGGGTCACTGTCTCCCAGGCCAGCCTGCAGCTTCTTCCACTGTGACAAGAGGGAAAGAGGAGGTGCTGGGGCCGGTGCCAGCACTGTGGGGGTTTGGTGGGAGAGGGTGTAGGCGAGATCCTGCCAGTTTCTGTGTTCTCAATGGAGCTTTAAGGAACGCCATCTCACTTGTTTCCCCGGGCAGAGAGAGCCGCCTGCCCTCCTGGAGACACAGAGGCTTGGGCGGGGAAAGCTGGAGGATCTCTGTTGCTCCGAAGGGGAAATGAGATGGGGAGGAGCCGAGAGTATTTGCAGAAGTGTGGCAGCTGGAGGACCACGGACCATGGACTAAGGCTCGGATGGGGGGCATTGCTTCTCCAACATCACACAAGCATTTAAGTGGCTGGGGATAGGACTAGTGGCAGCTCTGGTGTGCAGACGTCAGGGTCCTGGCAGGAAAGACCACAGCACCCTGCGTGATCAGAGCAGGAACACCTGCAAAGGAGCTGGAGGGGCGAGGACTCACAGGAGCAGCACAGGGCCCAGGCGCTGGTGAGGGGGAGTTGTCCCATCTGCCTGCGCCCGAAGGGGCGACAACAGCCCACCTGTCTGCCACGGCTAGGCTGTGGGGAGGACTTGCAGACAGCAGCTGCCCTTTCCAGCCCCGATGGCCCAGCCAGGACGGAGCTTGGGGCAGAAATGACCTCTCTCTCAGTGTCACCATTTTCCTATTCCCTGCCCACGGCGGCCCAGAGCAAGGTGCGGCATGGAATAAACTCGGAGAATGGGTGCACAACCTGAGTCTCTGAGCTGCTTCTATGTAAGGCAACGGCATTCATCTCTCTCGTGGGGGTCGCGGAGGGCTCCCCATAAATGACAGCGCTGCCTGCAGCCCCAGATGGGAGGCAGAGGCTCTGGTGGGCGACCGAGGCGCCGTCGGAGCTTGGGTTGGGGGGCGTTTCTCTTTCCCCTGCACCCTGCGGCCCTGCGCACCGGAGTCGCCCCCTCGGCCCTGGAGGGAAGCGGATGGCGCAGCTCGGGAGAAGTCGTTGGGGAGGCTGCGCCAATCCAAGCCAGAGTCCACCTTCCCAGCGCGCCGGAGGGGACGCCCGCTGTAGCCCCCTGGCTCCGCTCCTGGCCCAGCTGCAGCTGCAAGGCCCAGCTCTGAGCGCTCCCTCGCGGGCGGGCATTGGAGCAGCGGCCGAGACGAGGGCGGAGCCGGTGCGCAGCTGCTAGCGCCGGAGGGGCTGCGGCTTTGGCTCGGGGTGGGGCGCGGCCGGGAGGGCGCAGGTTCCGGCGGCAGGAACTGGGCTCCGAGCCGCGGGCTCACGCAGCCCCTAGGGAATGCCTGCTTGGCGCTCCCGCAGGGGCTGGTGGAGGCGCACACGACGCGGAGCTGGAAAGGGTTGGAGCAGCTGCCCGGCCTCCTATCACCAGCTTTAGAATCCGAGAAAGTCCAGACGGAATATTTTGGGCGGGGATCTTTTGGTTCAAGTCCCTCGTTTTACAGATATACAAGTGTAGGGCCGGATAGTGGCCCGCCTGGGGTCACGCAGCATTGGTTAGGGGGAAAGGAGGGGCGTTTCCCAAGGAGACCCTGCCCCTTCCTAAAGGACTGGACCCACCTCCCGGATTAGACCACCTGCCCCAGGGGCCGGAGGTGCGTGCCGCATTAGGTAATCCCAAATAACCCAAAATAAAACATAGGCCTTACAGGTGAGCCGAAATTCAACTCTGCGTTTTCCCACTGCAGATGTTCTGCCCAAATTCACTAAAGCTAAAACTTTCCCCGGGTTTTGGCGGTGGCTTTGGCAGAACACGCGTGGGGGACCCCCGCACGGCTGAGCAGTGGTTAAAGGCAGAAGCACAGATCGGGTGGGCCCACGGGCAAGCTTGGGGACAAGCAGGGGCCAGGCTCGGGCCTCGAGCTGCCCATCTGGGCAACCTGACCTTGTGAGACGGGCGTTGCCCGAGGGCCAATCCTGAGCGGCACCGCACCGGGTGATGGAGGGTCGGGGGCGCAGCTCCAGTGGGACTCCCGAGAGCCGGGTAGGACCCGCCAGGCGGGCAGAAAGAAGGGACAAGGCGGCTGCGAGCGGCCCTGGTCCCACTCTGGCGCCACTGCCGAGGCCCGGCAGGACTTGCGGGAGGCCCCCCAGCCCCTCGCACTGAGCGCGCCGCCAGCTCCCGCACTGCGCTGGGCAGCGGAGACCGGACGGGCGGCGGGTGGCTGAGCTCCGGGGCTCTCCGCTCTGCGCCTCACTCAGGGGCGATTTCCGACGCCCACAGCCTTCCTTCCACTCTCTCCCTCCCTCCACCCCCGGGAAAAAAAAAAAAAAAAAAGCCAGCTCCAAACACATCCGGAGCCTGCCTCGCTCTCTCACCCGACTTCCCTAACACCCCAAGGCACAGGGACTTTATTTATTAATTTTTTTATCTGGAGGATTAAAATCCTGAAAACATCATTGAGTCACACCCGATCTGCACCGACGTTAACCACACGCGCGCTGCAAGGAACCCAACACTCACAAGTCAGGATCTTCATGTCCCACCGAAATAACAAGAGCCTGGGGACACTTAATGCCCCCCCCCCCCATTTTCAAAATAAAGGAGTCTGGCTGGTGCACAGAAATCTATTTGTCCTCACGTTTCAGAAGCGTAAATTGGGAATTAAGTGAATTGGGTGAAGAATCCAGGGCGCATAAGTCACTTGGAGAGAATCCACCCAACATCCCTGCCAGGCCAGAAAAAAAAAAAAAAAAAAAAAAAGCCGGAAAGTTCAAGGTGGGATGGGGGGGAGGGGTGGCGAGGGAGGAGGAAAATCCTGAATTATTTCCCCCTCGACAGTTTTGTAGGAAAATGTGTCAGCGCTCAGGGGAGTTACAAGGAGGTCGCGCGGGGCACCGCGTGGGGCGCACGGGTCCCACGCCGGCCGCTGCGTTTTCCTAACCCTCTCCAGTCACGGGGCACATTTTTGGAACCGGAGACGCCGAGGTCAGAGCGGCTTTCTCAGCTTGCTCCCCGGGGTGGGGTTCCCAGGAGACACTTAGTGGGGACACTGGCTCCGGAAGGGAGAACAGCGCGGGCGGCAGCTCCGGCTGAGCCACTCCGTGGGCGGCACCGGACCCCCGGGGCCGCGCGGGGGCCGGCGTCGGAAGAGACGCTCTGTCCGGAACCACGGGCCGCCAGGTGTTGGGAGGCCCGCCGGCCGCTCCGCCGCGGGGCCGCGGGGCTGCGGGCGCCGGGATGCCTCGGAGGCTCCTGAGCTTCCTCCACACGCCCGGGACAGGAATGCAGCCGAGCGCGGCGGCGCCCCTGGTCCCCTCTGCCCACCCAAAAGCGGCTGGAGTGCCTGGGAGCCCCCGCTTCCCAACCTCGGGGCAGGTCTTTTGTTTCCCCACTCTGGGCAGAGAGTGGGGTTCCCAGGAGACACTTAGTGGGGAGGCTTCGGCTGGACTTTGACTATTAGAAGAGTGCCACTCGGTGACGGATGTGCCCGAAATCGGCACATTCTACGGCGAAAGGCGACAGGTCAGCGAGCCAACCTGTCGCCTGCCTGAAGGCGAATGTTGGCTTCAATACCGATTCAGGGAAAAAGAGAAAGGACAAGTTCTCAAACGTAACGTGTCCAATAAACTCACAATACTCAGAGGACAACTTTCTGCGCTGACTCCGCTGGTGCGCGCGCACGCGTGTCCAAAGGAAACTTTTTTTCTAGACTCTACCTTTTAGTTAATTTCTCCCCGCGCCTTCTCCCTCCCCACCCCCCCCCGGCAGTTTTAGAGGCAGAGATTTTTTTTTCTTTTTTCCTGGAGGACGGTTTACTTCCCACTTAAAAGAGAGGCAGGCCGAGGTGGGTGGGTGGGGGTGAGAGAAGGCCCACCTCCTGGCACAGAGTAAGAAAAGACAGGGGAAAAAAAGCGATTTCCAAACAGGCCTTCCATTTCTCAAACCGATGCCCGTCCGGGAAGGGCGTGCCTCCTGGGCCCCCGGCGAGGGACCGGCTCGACACGGGCCTTGGGTGCACCTGCGGGCGCCCCTGCCTCCTCCAGTCCCTTCTCCTACCCTGCAGCGCACACTTGGGGATCGCGCCCGAGACACATCTGGACCGGGGCTCGCGTCCCGGCATCTGGGCAGCGGCAGCCCAGGCCGGCTCCCAGGGAGCGATCGCGGAAACGCACGCGAGTGCGCCACTCGCTGGGGTGCGACCTCTCCCAGCACTCCGCCAACTCCAGCATCCGTCCCAGCATCTGCGGCTGGCACCAGCCCCTGGCTCCGCCCCCATGAGCCCGCCCCCTCGCCCCCGAAGCCAATAGCCTCACCCGGTCGCTCTGCACCGCCCCCAACTCTTTCCACACCTCCACGCCCCGGGAGCGGGTTGGCTGCTGAGTCCTGGGTGAGGCCCCGCCCTCGGCGTGGTGCTCGCCGCTTCTGGTAGGAAGAGCAGCCCGTCACTCCGCAAGGCCGGGCCCGCCCCCTCCACCTCGGTCTGCTCGCTGGCTTCCTGCGCAGTTCTCCTCCGCAGCCTCCGCCGGGGCTGCTCTCCAAGACTGGGGCGCTCAGAACGGCGAGCAGGCAGCCCCGGCGAACAGCCGTGCGCACCGTCCCGAGCGCTCCGGGAGAGCGCGCGCAGGGGCTCTGCTAGCCCGCAGCGGGCCGTGACGCCGCAGGAGCAGCCCCTGGGCCAGCACTGACCGCCGCCCCGACTTGGCGTTCCAGTTGCGGCTGCTCCCGGGACAACATGTCAAGAGCCGCCGCCGCTACAGCTGCCGCCGCCACCTGGAGAGCAGCAGCAGCAGCGGCAGCGGCGGCAGCGGCGGCCGCTTTGACCGCGGGCACGCGGGGGCAATAAGCGTCCGGCGAGCCGCGGAGGGGGAGCCCTCTCTGCGCTCACTGCCCCGGCGGGACCCTGGCCATGTGCTGAGCCATGCCCCTGGCCGCGCCCGCGGGCAGCGCATGGGGCAGCGCCTGAGCGGCGGCCGCTCCTGCCTCGATGTCCCGGGCCGGCTCCTGTCGCAGCCGCAGCCGCCCCCGCCGCCGGTGAGGAGGAAGCTCGCGCTGCTCTTCGCCATGCTTTGCGTCTGGCTCTACATGTTCCTGTACTCGTGCGCCGGCTCCTGCGCCGCCGCGCCAGGGCTGCTGCTGGGCTCGGGCTCCCGCGCCGCGCACGCCCCGCCGGCCGCCCTGGCCACCGCTGCGGACGGGACGCCTCCCAGGTTGCCGTTCCGGGCGCCGCCGGCCACTCTGCTGGCCAACGAGGGCGCCGCGAGCCAGGAAGAGCAGGGTCCCGAGGCGCCGGACTCCCCCAGTCCCATCTCCAGCTTTTTTAGTGGGTCCGGGAGCAAGCAGCTGCCTCAGGCCATCATCATCGGCGTGAAGAAGGGCGGCACGCGGGCGCTGCTGGAGTTCCTGCGCGTGCACCCCGACGTGCGTGCCGTGGGCGCCGAGCCCCACTTCTTCGACCGCAGCTACGACAAGGGCCTCGCTTGGTACCGGTGAGTGCGCGCGGGAGCGGGCGAGGGCGCGGGGCGGCGGCATAGGCTGCAAAGGGGGCGAGCGCACGCCGGGTGCGCCCAGCTCGGCTCTCGCCAAGACCCGGAGAAACTTCTGGCGCAGCGCCGGCGGCTCAGTGGTCCGCGGTGCTCAAGAACCACAGGCAACGGGGCAGCGACTTGGTGTGCGCTTGGAGAAGCAGGGTGCCCTCTAGCCATGGCGTTGCCGCCCCATACGCATCAATCAGGGTCGCCAGGATTTAATTTTTCCTGGCGGAGCCCCCGGGACGCTGGGAGGAGCGTTGTGCGCCCCCGCCGACACAGCCTGCTCCCTGCACCAACTTCTGAGCAGTTTCTGCGCTCCAGACTCTAGGGGATCGGGCGGCGACAGCGTCCTGCCGAGACCGCAGGGAGGTTGTGGGTTTCGGAGTTAACATTGCTCCTGGCTCCCGGGGCCGGGAGGGGCGTCGCACCCGCGCTCGGCTCCAGCGTCTCGGGCTCGGGAGGGTGAGCTGGGGCGGGCGGCGAGCGGAGCGTGGAGCGGTGCTGGTCTCTGTCGGGCAAAGGCGCGCACTGCAGCCGGTGTGAGCGGCGCGCAGCTTTGAAGGCTTCCCGGCGCCTCCCGGGCAGGGCCCACCCGTTTCCCGCCTACCCCGGCCTTGATGCTGGGGGGAGCGAAGAGCAAGGAACGCGTGTCTCCGCGGGCTCTTGACACGTCGGGGGCACAAAGACTTTTTTTTGGGGTGGTGGTGGTGGTGGTGAGGGTATCCAGGGATTGGAAACCAGAGTAGCTTCGAGGTGGCTGCTGCCCAAAATTTCTTTTTCCAGTCCGAAGGGACAGACAGAATCGCTACCGCTGCCCACGGCTTCCCGCAGCTCCCGGGCCTTGGGGCAGAGGTGGTTTGGCAGAGTCCGGGCGAGGCGCACGGGTGGGCAAGGGGTTGCCAGACTCCGGCGTCTGCAAACACCGTCTCCGCCCTGAGGGTCTCCTTCTTTCCGGTCATCATTCCCCGAGCCCGCGCGCGCACGGGTCCCCGCCAGCCCCCCAGACCCAGTGGGCTTCCAAGAGGCGGCAGACTTCCGGAAACAAAACGGAGAGAAGGGAAAACGGGGATCCCTCACACCCCCACCCCGCTCCCTGTCCCCACCCCGCCGTGGGGACTCGGATAGGATGGAGACTGCCGAAGGGGCCGACCTCTCGCCCCCAAACCCGCGCTCTGAAGGGCTTCGCCCAGTCCCTGGCCCCACAGCCCTGTGCGTTTGTTGTTGCGAGAAGTCGCCCACGGGGCTCAGGGTTCTGGTCCGGTGAGCGCGCCTCAGAGCTGCCATCTGTGTAATGGGCGCAAAGCCGGGCGCGCACGCTGGGCCCCTCCCCGGTGGTGTGCTGTCGTCGCTGCGGCCATAGTATTGTCACCGCTTCCACAACGCCCATCGCCCCGTCCCGGGAGCAGGCCAGCGCCCTTCCAAGGTGGACCTGGCCACAGCTGGAGGCAGCCCGGGTTTCTTTTCTTTTCTTTTCCTTTTATTTTATTTTTTTATTTTCTGGGATCAGACAAGTGTTGGGGGGGGGGGCTGGCTGGAGAATCACGGATTGCGCTAGGTCGTGCGGGCGACTTGCCGTCCACCTGCCGCTCTCCCGTTTCGTGGCCTCGGAACGCAGAGTAAGGGACAGAGACGCACTGCAGACCCTCGGGCTTCGCGGCTTGCGTCTGCGCTGCTAGCGGCCGCGGGGGCGGCTGAACCTGCGGGATCCGCAGCGGGCCCGGGACACCCCTTCATCCTCCCGAGCCGGACGGTCGCGCCCCGGGAAGCACCAGGCCCGCGCGGCCGTGACCCCGTGGATCGTGCTGCGGGAGGAGCAAGCTGCACACCGGCCCCAAACGCAGCGTCCCCGGAGCGCGGGGCTAGTGGGTTTTTTTTTTTTTTAAAGAAAAGGCAACTTTAATGCTATCTGTTTAAGTTAAACATTTTTTTTAATAAATTAAGAATACTGTAGTTGTCTGGAAAAAGAAGTGTTGGCTTCAGAATTATTGCAAAGGCGGTGATTTTTAAACAGAGACTCCCGGCCCGGGGCGCGGTATCCCGATTCCCGGCGCCCACGCTGCGCCTTTGGGCCTCGCTGCCGTGCCCCAGGGCTCTGCTAGGCCTGGCGGCCCAAGCGAGGTGGGCCCCGTCGCTCACCCGGGAGAGTGGCCCTTGGGAAGCGAGGCTGGGGCAAGTCTTCGGAACGGGGTCGCGGGACAGCGCGGGAGACCCACAGCCACGGGCGCGCACGGCTGGGTGCCAGGGTCACTCGTTCATCGGTTTAATGGGTCGAGGCGTGCGGCTCTGGGGGCGCAGGGCGGCCGACGGATGCGCCTGGAGTTTCGGAATGGGACTCCGGCTCGCATGAGACTCTCGCCCCCGCAGCCCGATCCGAAGGGGTGGTGATGGCCTTGGAACCCCGACCCCTTGCCACCCGGCACGGGGAGATCTTTACTTTCCCAGCCTCCTGACCCAGTTTGTTTTCGTCTGTGATTGGGACTCTTCCCCGAGTTTATTATCCGGCCCCGTGGAATCCACCTTCCAAATGCAGCAGCAGGTGCTGGCGGGGGTCCCCTCGGGGTGGCTTGCCGGCCCTGGGTGGTGGTGGTGGTGGGGTAGGGAAACATCCGAAAACTGGGGTAGGGGCGGGGTGTGGTTCTGCAAAACTTGCCATTTGCAAGGGGTGGAGAAGACACATCCCTAGACATCTAGGCTTGGAATCTTGATTGAAACTTGGACTAGCCAAACATTTAATATCTAACTTTTAAAGTTTTTTTTTTTTTTTACCTTTAATCTGTTTTAACTGGTGATGGATTTTCATGGACTTGCATGACCTCACTTTGTGAATTAAGTGTGCCAAATATTATTATTGGTTATACAGAAACGTGTCTGAGATTTTTATAGGGACAGAAACTCCTGGATTCCCCTTCCCCAGTTTGAGTGGTACACATAGGTGGGCGTTTTAACTCGGTGGCTGACATTAAACCAAGTGCAGTGTGTGTGTGTGTGTGTGTGTGTGTGTGTGTGGTTTAATAATACTGTTAGCTAACACTTACTGAGTGTTTTCCCTGTGTGCCAGCCACTGTTTCAAGTTTTACAGGATTAGCAAATTTAATCCTCATTACAGCCCTGTGAAGTAGGGACTTTTACGGAGGAGCAGCAGCAGGCACAGAGAGGTTAAGCAACTAGCCCAAGGACTCACAGCTGGAAACAGGGCAAAGCTACAGAGGAGCTCAGAGCTGGGTTTAACGTTTTTGACAGGCTTCTGACTGTGGTGCCTGCAGTGACGGCAGTGGGCATTATGATGTCAGTCATTTTAAAAGAGCATGAACTCCCAAACAGGCTCGGTGAGTAATATCCAAAGTTGGTTTAGAAGTGGAGTGAAGGCACCCACACCACTGTGGCAGTTTTATGTCTCCGTGCACGACAGAATCAAAGGAGTCATTAAAATGACACAAATTTCCCTCCAGTACAAGAGGCTGAGAGAACGCAGCCAGGGTCCTCGCCCGCCCGAGGAGTGGATTTATTCTCTGCCATTTGCCCTTTTTCAAGGCGGGGAGGTGCTGGGGGACATAGGGTTAAATGACACGGTCCACAACTTCTTGGGAATTAATGTATTCATTCAAAATACTGCCTCCAGTGAAGGCTGAATAATTAATTTGTACATATTAAACAGAACACTCATACAGCCAACACTTGGAGCAGGTCTCTTAGAATGAGATTCTAAAAACCCCAGTGACTTGAGACATCTCACATGGCAATCTTGTCCACATTTTTTATTTTAACAAATGCCGAGAAGCCTAATTGCCCACCCTCCCTTTCTCTTAATCTAGGTCTAAAAACCTGATGACAAAGAACGCTTCTGGCTTCCCGGAGGGAAATTTAAGATAAGATCTGATTGGGGATGATCTGTTTTGAAGTAATTGCACTCTCAGTGCTGGAGTTTAACCGGAGCTTCCAACTCATTTCCAAGCTGCTGGGTGAAGATCAAAAATCTACATTTGTATGCAACAATTTGAAATACAAACCGTCATGTTACAAAGCTGTCAGGATTTATTAGCAAGACAGTGTAGCATGTGCTGAACTCTGTTTTTAATTAGGCACCTAAATTAGACCATAAAATGGTTGATTAATCTTTTACAAGTTGAGGGGAAAATATAACATAAATTAACCTAATCATAAGTGTTTTCCCAGATGCTTGAGTTAATAAAATAGTCAATATTTAATAGCCACCTATTTGTTTTAGATAAATAAAATGCTGCAGCGTGTGTGTTAACTTTCACTTATTGTCTTCTGAATGATACATTGTAATTGATCAGGTCTCTTAAGGTTGCAGCCTGTGTCTTTAAAAGTATTTATCAAAATAGAACACAACAATTACGACTTGAATGCTGACTCAATTAGATTTTGAATTTTAGAATGGACCCTAATTATGGAAAAATTCTAATTTGGTGTAGACTAATATTTATGAAGGCAATTGCCCCGCTAACGTCGTGTTGTTTGGGATTTTTAAATGACCTCTCGTGGTATCTGTTTTCCTAATTTGGTGTCTTATTTTTTGCTTGACGGAAAACTTTTTGATATTTTGAAAAAAAAAAAACTGTCACAAAGCCTCATGCCATATCCTCATGCTAATTGGCCTTTTTGTTGAAAACATGTGCTAGGACATAGGCTTTTCTGGTTATTAAAAAAATGAATTAAAAACGAATTCTTTGAATCATGAAAATTATTTATAATTGAAAGTGCACCAGAAATTAAAAAAAAAAAAAGACCACTGTTAGTCTTAAATCAGGGAGGAGCATTTATTTAAAGAAATTTGGGACTGCTTGCCTGCTGCTGCTGTCTCGGGTTTTGAATACTTTATGTTCTCACTCTATGAACATGGAAATTCAGTTGACTGGCAGAAAACACAGAATGTCCACACTAAAGGCAGAACATAATGAGCATTTCTTTTGCTGTGAATAGAGTTAGTTTCCAAA